CTAGTAGCGATGGCCTCCAACCTAGTAGCGATGGCCTCCAAGCCAGTAGAAATGGCCTCCAACCTAGTAGCAATGACCTCCAACCTTCTAGCGATGGCCTCCAACCTACTAACGATGGCTTTCAACCTTGAAGCAAAAGGCCTCCAACCCACTAGCCATGGCCTCCAAAGTGGCCTCCAAAATGCTAGTTACTAGCAATGGCCTCCAACCAGAAGCAAAAGGCCTCGAACCTACTAGCGATGGCGACAGCTTGCCTTTTGCGACAAAAGGCAGGGCTCAAAGGCTCTTGCATTTCTTGAAAACACGTTCTTACACCTGGCCTTGCTACTAGGAGCAAGGACGCTACTAGGGGCTCCTGGCCTTACTAGGAACAAGAAGCTTTCAAGGAACAAAAGGCTAGGAGGCCATGTCGGCCTAAGGCCTGCAAGGTCTGGTTGTTCGCGGGACAATTCCAATCTTTTGACGGCACAAGACCGCTATGTGACTATGTGTATCTACCGCTACTTGCCAACGGCCGTGGACGTCACAGGTCCTTCATGAACTTCGCTGCCAAAACATCCAACTCGTTGATCGTTCCAAGAGATGGAACTTTAATCTCTTGCCTCCGGACAGCTACTAGTAGCAAAGGACGCTTCTAGGGGCTCCTGGCCTTACTACTAGGAGCAATGTTCGCTACTAGTAACAAGGGCATCGCTACTAGGAACAAGGACGCTACTAGTAGCAAAGGGCATCGCTACTAGGAGCAATGTTCGCAAGCATCAGGGCGCCGTCGAGAGCACAAAGCACGAACTCGGGACTAAACACAACGTTGTCCACAAAGACCTCATCCGTCAGGCGTCGGGCGTTCAAAATATATTTCCTCTTGCAATTGGCCAATAGCTCTGGCTGCAATTGGCTGGGGCATTTAGTTGCTCGATGCAGTCTTCCAAGCTTCAACCTCTCTGCGAAAGTGGCCAAACCTCCCACAATTACCTTTCAAATCATGTTCAAAGCGGGCCCTTGTACATTCCTTGCCTTCGAAGCCAATTCACCAACAAATCCTGAGTCATTTGCGGATTGGTCATGGTGAAATCAATTCTCGCATGAACCTTGGGGTAGTCCACCTGGTGGTCACCTGCACTAAGACACCTTTTTCTTGGCTACACAATAAAATGCTACAACAACACATTCACGTGGCGTGACAACTGCAAGCAAGTATGGCAAACAGCTCTGCTCTGCAAGCACAAAGCCCTACAGCATGGTCCCTTAGCAAGGATTCTAGCAAGGCTTCTTTTTGCTCTTTAGACCTGTCCTTCTTTGCTGTTATTGTCTCTTGTTCACAGAGGACGCTACTAGTAGCAAAGGGCATCGCTACTAGGAACAAGGACGCTACTAGGGGCTCCTGGCATTACTACTAGGAACAAGGACGCTACTAGGGGCTCCTGGCACCGCTACTAGGAGCAATGTTCGAACAAACCACAAATTGGGAAGTCCAACTGAACTGGCGCGCCCCTGACGCCAGTGTGCCACCCTTGCTTGCTTAAGTATCGTAGCAAGCTCCTAGCAACTAAGGCTTCCTTGAAGAAGCGCTCGCACTAAGTATTTGGCTCCTAATTAGATTCTTAGGGAAGCTGAACTTGGATGATAAATAGGTTGGAGGCCATCGCTAGTAGGTTATTGATGAATAGTTCGTTGTTTCCACACAATTCACCCGTCAACGACCTTCAACTCCCCAACCTCGACTGAAGTCCAGTTGCGGCTTTGATTGCCCCTGAATAGCGGTTTCCAGATGGATATGCCTGTGCAGGAACTGAATATTCGTGAATCTGATGCAAAGCTTCTCACACTGGACAATTTGTCATGTTTCCTTTGGGACTATGTGTAAAGCCTTATGCTTACCTCTTGTGAAGTTCTTCGGTTTTCACCTTCTATCAGCAAGGTGGGGCAATGGCCACTTGCCTCGCTGAGACAAAAGTGGCTTTGGTCCAAACAAGAACCTGATCCACATCTTTGTGCAGCCTCATTGATGAGGAAGTAAGCTGGAAAGTCTTCTTTGGTCAGCTTAAACCTGTCAGGAACTCTAGCATGTGCAGCAAAGAAGGCTGGAAGTGGTCTGCTTGTATAATAATCGCTTCTGTGACAGCGGATACAACTATTCTGAACACGTTCCTCCTCAAACTGCAGGAATGTGTTTGATCTAAGGAGTGCAAGACCAAATTGAGTAAAATTCCTCTATTGGAATGACAGTAATTATAAGTAGTGATAGGGGATGTTTGCTTAGCCGCAAGATCTACACTCTTATTAGTAACACAAGAAAAACCAATATCGTGTAAAAGAAAATGGACAAACATGAGTTACAGTTCGTTACAGTTAGAGGAGTTCTGAAGTCCAATATCGCCCTCTTGCATCAAAGTAGAACGGTTGGAACGGTTGCTATTAGGTTGGAGGCCATCGCTACTAGGGTGGAAGCCATTGATATTAGGAGCAAGAACGCGACTAGGGGCTCCTGGCCTTACTACTAGGAGTAAGAAGCTACTAGGAGCAAAGGGCATCGCTACGAACGGAGCAAGGAAGCTATTAGGTTGGAGGCCATTGATATTAGTAGTTGGAACGGTTGTTTTTCACCGTCGTTGTCGAAACGTTCCGTCCAGCGCGGCGCACTGGCCGCGGAGATCGTCGTTCTCTTTGTCACCATACTCCTGCACTGGAACCTGCACAAGTGCGACACAAGTGATTCACAAAGGACGCTACTAGGGGCTCCTGGCCTTACTACTAGGAACAAGAAGCTATTAGGGGCACACAAGTGATTAAACAGGATACAACTATGACATAGCGAATGGCCTCGAACCTACTAGCGATGGCCAACCTAAGAGCGATGGCCTGCAACCTACTAGCAATGGCCTCCAATAGAATTCGAGGAAGCGCCCAAACCAAGTCGAAGGAGCCATTAGATCTGTTAGAAGCTTTGTGTGATGTCCCATCACCCTTCTCTTTTCTGAGGGCTGGTTTAATGATGCATCTTCTTGCACAGTTCTTCACTGACTAAGTGTCTTGGTGAGCCCTGCGCTGCTCGCGGTTGCAATGCAGTCTCATCCGGCTCAAGGATAAGGCAAAATATGACAAAGCAACAGTTTTGAAACTTGAGATTACTATCGAAAGAACCACTTCCTCACGTTCACTGATTTCATTGTTCATTCCTTCTGCTCCTTTCCTCTTGGAGGCCATCGTTACTAGGGTGGCGGCCATCGCTAGTAGGTTGGAAGCCATGGCTAATAGAATGTTTGTTATTTTGTTTCATTCCCTTCCTCTTTTCCTCACCTTTCCTTCTGCTCGCTCACCCAAACTTGAAGCGAACATGTGTCGACGGCTCGGCTCCGGCTCCCGCGGCTGGCCTCGGCGATCATGAAATTCGGCACTTGGTGAGCCTCAAAGCACAAGAAGCTAGGAACAAGTGCGTAACAAGTGCCTTACTAGTAGTAACAAGGAGCTATTCGAAACAAGAAGCTAATTACTAGGAACAGGAATAAAAGAAGTATCAGTTTGGCACCGAAAAGCACACTTCACAAATCACAGACACAAATTGCTACAATCTGAGACTGCCACATGTTTGCAAAGGAGCTTGAATTCATCCTCTTTCTCCCCATAAGCATAGGACTGGTCAAACCTCGAAAGCGACTACTTCCGGCCAAGTGACAGGGTATTGAATTCAACAACGTGAAACGTTCAGAGTCCCGATCTTCAAAAAAGTTTTCGTGTCTGGCAGTAAGGATCAGCAAAGGCAATTTAACCCTAGGCCTTAATGGCCTTAAAGTCTAAACCAATTCTTGAAGGCAGTGGTGTCTTAAAGAAAGGAAAACTATGTGGCGCGATTGTGTGAGTCTGGAGAAGGGTCCAAGGTGGAGAACTAAGGTATTTCACTGGGCCTTCTAGGTTAGATGCTCTTCACATTCTGTTGATCGCTTCGTCAACCTCAGAGTCTGGCTTAACTAGAAAGCTCCAACCAGGGAGGTTGGTCACCTTGGACATTCGGAAATAGAAACATTTGTCCCCCAAAAAGGAACAAAACACAAACACATACAGAGTAAGGAAACAGGGCTGAAAGAAGAAAGGAACACAACAATATAAAAAACAACAAAGGCATGTCTCACTCAGCCTTGTAAAAAGTGTACATGTGTCGATCTTGCTAACTGAACACTCCCTTCGACCAGACATGAGTCATGAACGATGCAAAACACATCAACCACCCTTCATGACATCATTGAATCATAAGTCATAAATGAATTGTGGTTGATGGATGTTTGTAGTTGACGGTTGACATCAATTGACTTGCAAGTTGCCTTGCTGAAGGTGTAGTTATCCAGCTTGAGTGCGCCCTGCGCAGTGCCCTGAGAGAAGGTACGGAGGCCCTTTGAAGGCTTAACTGGAGCATGTCCGACATCGATGTGTTGATGTGCCTTTGTTATTTTCTTTGTAAGCAATCTATAGACCATCTGTGTTTTCCTTCCGAACCTTATACCAATACTTAATGTGTTTGCCCATTTTGTCACATTTGATGTTCACTTGACAAGAAACACCTTATCATATTCATTCACATTCTGTCAGACTCCATCGGCTGAGGTGTTGTGTGATAATTTTGAGAATATGGGATTTCAGGAAATCGGCCTCTACCCGGAGGAACGTGAGGGCTCCAAGCACCAGGCAAACACCTTGGCACTTCGGAACTTGACAAATTCGTTGAAATCACCTGAATGTGTTGTCTGTCACGCATAAACCCTTCTCAAACATAAATATCAACAAAACGAAAACTACCCCCACAAATTGCGATTGGTATTGGCTGATGCCTTTGTGTCGCGGCGCGCTCTTGTCGTCCATTCAAGGCGCAGGGAATGAATGCATTGTAACGTGCCCACTAACATGCCCCTAGCACCTCATAGCACCTGTCACAGTCCTTGACGAACTGAACGTCACATATTGCCGGATTCCCCGCAGTAAGCACAGCACTCCCGCGAAGCATGTCACACAGTCATTTGACCAGTTTGAGCCGCTTAGCGGCCGCAGTCGGCTTACATGCACTTTGGCAGAAACTACATTGGGATTGAAGCATGACATTTCTCGTGTCTTTTCAGATCAAGTGAAGTGAAAGACACAAATGGCTCAATCACTTCAATCTCAGTAAGAAACTAGCAGCCGGGTGGCCCGAAACACAGCAGGAGGTGACAGAGAATGAACAATGAGGATGAGGTTTGTAACAAAGATGGCGTTGATGATGACAATTCTTACCACATCTCTTCCAATTGCTCCGCGATGCACTTTTCTCTGCCTAACACCGGCGCACTAGACAAGCCATGCAATTTGGGTCAATTTGGGTCTCTTCCAAAGTGGTGGTGCCCCGAAACCATGCAACAAATTATGGGTTTCCTGCTTTACCTTTGCGATTACGGGGGTTCCCCTTAACCCACCCTTCAGTGTGTCACGCTCACCGGCCTCATCGGGCTGCGCGGCAAAGAACTCAAGAGAGTGAAGGCAAGGAGCGACGAGACAAGTTGATAGGCCCGATGGAAAATATTGTCTATAATTCATGTGACCAGATCAGACAGATGAATGGGCAAACAATGAAGTTTGATCTCCCCAAAGCCTTTGGGCACGTCTTGGGAACTTCCGGTACCTGCGTTATAAAAAATACACACGTAGTATGTAATAAATTCACAGAGGTACATATCGAAATCAACCTTCCGAATTCTTGAAAAATGCAGCAGCAGGCCATCAAGACACTATAGCGGCATGCCATCTTCAGGCGCTGGCTGTGGTGTGTCCCCAGGCTGAACCTGACTCTGCGCAAGCAACGCAATTGGTATCAGCCCCACCCAACCTCAAACCGCGTTTCATGCGTACGGACCATGGCGTGAAACAATGCAAGGCAGCATGCCCCCACACAGATCTTGGAGACGGACCAAATCCCAACGGAAGGCTTGTGCGCAAAGCCCTGAAGCTGTTGGACCTGCGATCTGGTGGCTTGTTTTCTCTAACTTGGCCTGCAATGCCAAACAGGCCAGCAGGCCTTGTCAGGGGGGGCGAAATGCAGCCATAAGCCTCATGTTCGCGTGAACCGTTCACATCGGAGTCATCAAGGAAGTGAAGGCTGAGGAGCAGAATCAACTGCGCTGAGACCCAATGACAGTCGGTCTTGCAAGCTGCGAGGTCCGCACGAAGAACGACGTTGTTCCTCGCAGTGCAGGATTTCACCATGAAAACAAAAAAGACACTCCGTCTACCCTAACGATTGGGTTGAACTTGTCCTTCACGATCCAGGCTGGTGATGACTGACTTTCAACTCTTGACAACTATTGACAGCTTATGCACTCTGCGCTGCAAGTAAGCAGGAGGACGGGCGCTTAATGGATAGTTCGTTGGCATGATTTGGCGCGCGCTTTTCTTCACGAGGCAAAGGACGCAAAGGTTACTAACTTTTTGGCGTCCCGCTGTGCGACATTGGGAGGCAAATAGAAAACATCAAGTTTTGGGTATGCGCTGGCGACCTGGAAGCACCATCACAATAATATGGGAAGAAGGCAAAGGCACGTGCAGTTCTAGGATACCAAGACCCTGAACTCGCGACAGCTCAAACATCCCCACCATCTGCAAAAGCTTGCAAGTACACCCATGCTTCTTGGCACATGGTCAAGCACCTTTATACCTGTGGCTAAGAATTCCAAGGGAGATTGCAAGGGAACTTCGTTTGAAAAGCCTGTCTGTCGTTATTTCCTTTCAGATGCAGGATGCAAGAAGGGACACAAGTGTGGTTTTCCACATGAATGGAAAGGCATCTCTAAGAATGGGAGATGTTGATGGTTAAGGAGCCCCCTAGGATCAAAAAGGAGGCGACTGAGGAGGTCAAGCCGAAAGAGATAGCTGGCAAAGCCATTGAGGCCCAGAACTCTTCAGGAGGAGACGCTGGTTCGAATGCTTCAACGAGTCCACCGCCCTCGGCATCTTCGGATGATTTGATGAAGGAAGCGGTGCAGTTGTTGAAGTAGCTGAAGCCGTCGGCGAAAATGGTAAGCGTCAAGTCCGTTGTTCCGTCGGATGGAAAAGGTAGAGCATTGTTGGATGGCGCTCTGGTCACGGATTTCGAGACGCAGGTGATCGTGCCACTGGGGAAGGTTGTCAGGCTGGGCTACCGGGTGAAGTGGGAAGGAGAAGCATTTGAGCTCTTCAGTCCCTCCGGAACCAAAATTGAAGTACTTCTAGAAGCTGGGTGTCCTACTGTGGATATGAAGACCGCCAATCAGCTGATTGAAGAGCTGGAGGGTTATGAAGTCGACATGACGCAGAGGGCAGCGGCTCTGAGAGCAGGCAGTCCGGTGATCTAGCTCCTAGTGTATGGAGGTGGCTTGTTGATTTGAGGAAGCTTTGGCCGGAAGTCCCAGATGAGATCATTGCCAGGGTTGTTTCGACCGGAAAATGGACTGGGGAGCAGGTTCCTTTGAATAGGAGGCAGCGTCAGAGGATATGGACGAGTTCTTCGGTGATTCTGCACCTATTTTCGGGACCAGAACAGTCTTGGTGGAAAAGGAACTTGGAATCCAATAGTCGAGCTGTTCTGTGTATTGACAAATCCGTTGACTCTCACCAGGATTTGTTGTTGGATTCATTGACGAGCTTTTTGGCAGAGCTGTGCGAGAAAGGCACGGTGGATGCGGTCTTAGGAAGACCTCCGTGTAGAACAGTATCAAAGCTGCGCTTCAGGAGGCCGGGCCCCCCACCACTCCGAGCACGGCAAAAAGAGATTTGCGCTCAATGATCTTTCTGACGGTATGAGAGAACTGGCTTGGGGAGATGCAGTTGTTTGGATGAGGCAGCTTTGGCTTTATACCTTGGCGAGTGCATCGCGTGAGAAAAAGGAGCTATTTCTCAAGGAACATCCGCGTGATCCTCAAGAGTAATAAGGAAAAGAATGACACCAATGATTACCCTTCATTCTTTTGTGGAGCATTTGGTCATGAACGTCGCAAGCCTACCACGCTGGGAACCAATATTGGGCACCTGTGGAGTTTGGAAGGCGTTGTGGATAGGCGTCCTCGTGATCAGGTGGTGAGCACTGGTTCTCCCATTGAGGAGAGAACTACACAAAGTCGCTCATGGGCTGCTTGGCCTGAACCCTGTAAGATTGAGATTGTCAAGGGCATTGTACTGGCCTTGGATGGGGGAGTATGTCAATTGGGTGAAGATCTTGGACCGGGATTGGCTAAGATGACTGCTGAGCAGTGGAAGACCCATGTGATGTGCAACCATGTACCTTTCTCAAGGGAGTGCGCGACTTGCCTGGCTGGTGCTGGAAAGAATAGGCAGCATCGGAAAGTCCCACATCCAGATGCTATGACGTTGAGTCTAGATGTTTGTGGTCCTGTGAAGCCTGGCGTGGATTTCAGAAGGAAGAAGTCCAAGTATTTCCTTGTAGGTGTCTACTCGATTCCAGTGAGGAAGACTGCAGACAGTTGTGATCCTTTGCCCGACAGCATCAATGAGGTGTTGAAGGACGGAAAAGAGGAAGAAGTCGAGCAGATTCTTCAGGAAGAGGAAAGAGAGGAGTTGGTATGGAAAAAGCTAGAAGTGGAAGCTGAAGATGTCTTCATTAAGAACTACACCATTGTGGAAACCCCTTGAAGGCCGGGATGGCAACGATGTTAGCCAGATTGAACTATTTGGGAATGGAGGTCCGCAGAATCCACAGCGATAGTGCGGTGGTGTGAGGAGAGAGGCATGTACAGGACTTTCACGGCTGGAAGTGCCTGGAAAAGTAGCGGAAGAAGCGGAGCTTGGTGAGATTCGTCGCAGTATCAACGTCCTTCTCAAGGCCTCAGGTGATGGACAAGAGTATTGGCCTCTCATGGCGAAGCACATCGGCGAACGACGGGGTCGTCAACAGCTGAAAGTGTTGGGCTATGAGACTCCACCTCTTTTCTTCCATGGGGCAGGAAAGTCATGGTGGCCACGAAAGGCTGGGATGATTTCCAAGGTCATTGGAGACTGAGGAAGCAGCCGGGAATTATCCGTGGTGCTGATCCTGACATGAGCTTGACTAGTGGTGGCCATGTGGTGGAAGTCGCGAGAGGAAACTTTTTTCGAACCACCGACATCGTCCAAGCGGAGGATCCTCCTGCGCTTGATGATTTGCCGCTAGTTGAGGAAAGAAGTGAGCCGGCTGATATCAGAGACAAAAAGCGGTCGTGCCCAAACGGAGATTGGGGGAGAAAACGGCATTGTCCAAAGTGTCAGTTGAAGTACTTCAGAAGAGATTGCTCAACGGTCAAGACTGGGCCAATGAAGAGTTCAGCCGTTGGGAGAAGTGTCCTGGTCCAGACGAATGTGAAGTGTCGTTGATCTATGACCTAGATAGGGAGAATGAATGCCTTGAAGAGATGGTGCGTTTTGCCGGTATATCATGCAAGCGACTGGAGGCGAAGGCTGCTCAGATGGCAGAAGAAGATGAAGAGCTATTTTTGCAGACCCGAACTGTGAACTTCAAGAAGTGCGTCGTGATCTACCACTTTGGATTCCACCATTGAAGGTTGAGATGGATAACTTTGATGGGAATCATGCTATCCACAGGATTTCAGAGGAGAGACCCAATGAAATTATAGAGGAGGCCGAGAGCCGAGGAGAGAAGGTGGAAGTGATCCCGGGGATGGGAGTGTTCACTAGAAAAGCTGGAGATGGACGGAGACGTGCCCGAGTTGTATGTTGCGGAAACCATATGGAGGCTCGCGCAGGTGGAGGCTCAGCTTGTGAAGCCCGGGGAGCACTGGTTGGTCACTGCTGCGATGTATGGGTTGACTACGTCTCCCTCAGGACTGGAGCACTTTCAGGGATGGTGAGTTGAAAAACATGATGGGTTGCTTTCAAAGGTCGGACAGTGAGAGCTCAGAGAAGGAGAAGGTACTCTTTGGGTTCCACCCACTGGATGATCCGAACCTATGGGCCATTCAGGAGTTCACTGTGGATGAGAAGAGTGAA